CAGTCCAGGGCAGACAGTCTGCAGACCATCCCTGGGTCTGCTTAATTCTGCTTTTATTTAACCTATTTTTCCTAATCAACCTGTTGAGAGGTGTTATTACACACCTTTGGAGCAGGTGGGACTTGAACCCAGGCCAGGGGCAAGGACACTACAACTGCACTACAAGAGGACACTCTGGATCTGCTTCATTTTTGTTTTTTTTCATAGTGAGACAGAAAAAAAGACATGGGTTATAACTAGACTTTATTACATTTCTTTTTGGTTTTGCCACCAGGAAAACACATGTGGCCAGTTGTATATTAACAAGTAAAGCCTGTTAAAGGCAAAGTATAAACTGAAAGAACTGCGGATGCTGTAAATCAGGAACAAAAACAAATTTGCTGGAAAAGCTCAGCAGGTCTGGCAGCATCTGTGAAGGAGAAAACAGAGTTAATGTTTCGGGTCCGGTGACCCTTACTCAGAACTGGAGTTCTGAGGAAGGGTTACTGGACCCGAAACATTGACTCTGTTTTCTCCTTCACAGATGCTGCCAGACCGGCTGAGCTTTTCCAGCAAATTTGTTTTTGTTCCTGTTAAATGCCATGCTGATATCAAAGAAGTGAGAGGGGGTGGGGAGTTTGGTAGGGAGAGAATCAAAATGGAGTTGGGTGGGGACTAAAACTGTTTATTTCCCGCAGTGTCTACCTCTCTCTAAAGTCATCAAGCGCACTGGTGGACACTGTGTGCTCCCTCTCGAATGACACCCAGGTCTGAACGTAACAGCAGAAGGGAAGCAGTGGGTCTGCTTCATAAGAGGCTCAGGCAATGAGCTCCCGTCACTAAGGAAACTCATATTCAGTGAACTCCAAGAAGAGATTAATTAGAGTTTCCCCATGGGCCTTATAGGGGTTATTTCATGCTGCCCTCTCTTAGTCTTAGGGCTCCCCTTCACTCATGTGATAATTGGACTTGTGTTGCTTTGCTTATGGACTTATTCCTATTGTCTCCCAGACATGGTCAGTGCTATATAATAAGTAGATGAATATCTCTTCCGTGAAAACCGTTGAAGAGCCCCTGCAGGGAGCTCATCCTCTGACCGAGCTTCCATCATCTTTATCTCCATCTCCAAGTCAGAGTCCTTGTTGTCCTCAGGACTGGCTCTCAAACTTCTTGTGGGTGGAGTTTCCTGTCTGCTAGATGCTGATGGTAGCACATCTTTCAAAACAATTGCGTCTCCGGAGGGTCCTGACTGACAAGAGGTGGTTAGTCTGCCTTTTTGTAGTCCTCCCCCCATTTTATTCATGCATGATACCAGTCCCTTTCCTTAAGGATAACTCCCAGAATCCATGGACAGTCATCACCAAAGTCCTTTACATGAATCGTATCTCCCAGCTTAAAATCTGTCTGGCCCTATGCCCATCATGGCCCCTTTTTTGAGCTTCCTGTTTTAGTTCAACCTTGCCACCCAAGTTTGGGAAAGCAGACTAAGCCGAGTCCGAAGGCATTGCCCATCAATATTTGCACAGGGGCCTCTCCTGTCATCATATGCGACATTGTCCTATCGTTAAAGAGGAAATGTACAAGCTTTGTTTCCAAATACCCTGTAGTTTGCTTTCTCATGCTACTTTTGAATACCTGGATTGCCTGCACAGCCAGACTGTTTAAGGACTGATAGTAGAGTGCCATGTAGATGTGCCTTACCTATTTGTCTTCATAAAGATCTGAAATTCCCCACCAGTAGTCCCATTGTCTATTATAATAACCTCAGGTATACCATGCATATAAAAAGAGAAGCGAAGTTTTCTGTGGTGTTGTAAGAGGTAGTAGAGGCCATTCAGTGCACAACAATCCATTTTGAATGGGCATCAATAAGGATTAAGAATGTAAAGCCCGCAACTAGACCTGTGAAAGCTGCATACACTCCCTGGCCATTCCCATGAGTGAAATGAGGCTGCTGGTGGGGCCTTCTGCTTTTCCTGGCAAGTTTCGCACCACTTGACCAAGCTTTTGATATCTGTGTCTATGCCAGGCCACCAAAATAGCTCCTTGTGAGCATTTTCATTTTGGAAATTCCTGGGTGGCCATTGTACTATGATACTAAAATAGGTGGGAAAGCAGGCAGCAATGAGGAGAGAAAGAATTTACAGATGGATATTGATAGATTAGGAGAATGGATCAGGATCTGGCAGATGGAGTTTAATGTGGATAAATGTGAGGTTGTCCATTTTGGCCAGAAGAATAAAAGAGGAAATTATTATTTAAATGCGAAGCAGATTCAAAGTGTATCTAGACATCTTTGTGTATGAATTGCAGAAAGTGAGTATGGATACAATAAGAAAGGCAAATGGAATCCCAGCATTTTATTGCAAAAGGACTGGAATTGTAAAAGTAGAGTTGTTACAGTTATTTCAGTGTTGGTGAGACCACATCTGGAATATTGTGTCCGGTTTTGGTCTCTTAACTTGAGGAAGAATGTGTGGCACTAGAGGCAGTTCAGAGGAGGTTCACCAGTTGATTCCAGGGATGAAAGGGCTGTCGTATGAGGAGCAGTTGAATAGCTTACACTAGTACTCACTGGAGTTCAGAAGAATGACGGGTATCTGATTGAGGTGTATAAAATGCTAAAGGGGATTGAAAAGATTAATGTTGAACAAATTTTCCCCTTGTGGGAGACTTTCAAAGAAGAGGGCATAGGTATGGAGTGAGAGGATGTAGGTTCAATACTGAGATGAGGGGAAACTACTTATTTCAGAAGATTGCGAATCCGTGAAACTCACTGACAGTGAGTGCAGTGGAGGCAGCATCAACCAACAGATTCAAGAAAGAAACCAATATGTTTCTGATGAAAAGCAGGATAAAGGGTTATAGGGACCAGGCAGGAAAGTGGAGTTGAGAGCAGGATAAGATCAGCCACAGAGTCATACAGCATGGAAACACTTCCGTCCAAATAGTCCATGTTGACTATGTACCCAAACTAAACTAGTCCCAAATGCCTGCACTTGGCCCATTTCCCTCCAAACGTTTCCTATTCACGAACTTATCCAAATGTCTTTTAAACACCTGCATCCACCACTTTCTCTGGCAGTTCATTCCACGCGCAAACCACTCTGTGTAAAAAGTTGCCTCTTAAGTCCTTTATAAATGTTTCTCCTCTCACCTTAAAGATATGCCAGCTAGTTTTGGTCTCCCCCACCCTTGTCATTCATCTTATCTATGCCCCTCATAATTTTACAGTCAAAATAAACAAGTCCTGATCATGTTAAATGGCGGAGTGGGTTAAAAGAACTGAACTGTCTACTCTTGCCCCTAATTCCTATATTCCTATATCATTGACCAAATTTATCATTGCTAAATTTGTCAATGACATAAAGATAGCTAGGAATATCAGTTATCAACAGGAGTTTGAGAGTTTTCAAAAGAATATAGATAAAGTTGGTGAGTGAGCAAAAATTTGATTGAAAAATGATTGAGAATGTGAATTTGCCCACTTTGGTATGATGAATGGAGAAGTGGTATACTATTTAAATTGAAAAAAAATTGCAGAACTCGGTGATTCGGAGGGAACCAACAGTTCTGGCACATGAATCACAAAAACTAAGTTGCAGATTCAGCAAATGATTAGGAAAGCTGATGGAATGTTGGTGTTTAGCACAAGGGAGTGGAAAACCCAGCTTGTTCATAAATGTCCTCTAGGGAAGGAAACTGCTGTCCTCATTTAGTCTGGCCTACATGTGACTTCAAATCCACAGCAATGTGGTTAACTCTTAATTGCCCTCTTGGCAATTAAGGATGAGCAATAAATGCTGGCCTGGCCAGCAATGCTTACATCGTGTGAATAATCTTTTTTTAAAAATAGGGAAGTTTAACGGTATCTTTGCAGAACCTTGATAAGATATATGAGGAAAGTCTGGATCGATTCGGCTTGTACTCGCTGGAATTTAGAAAAATGAGGTGGGCAGGCTAGAATGTGCCTAATGTTGGGAAGTCCAAAACTAGGGATCACAGTCTAAGAATAAGGGGTAAGCCATTCAGGACTGAGATGGGGAAGAATTTCTTCACTCAGAGAGTTGTGAGCCTGTGGAATTCTCTACCACAGGAAGCTGCTGGGGCCAGTTTTTTGGATATGTTCAAGAGGGAGTTGGACGTGGCCCTTGGGACTAAAGGAATCAAGGAGTATGGGGAGAAAGCAGGAATGGGATTGCATGATCAGCCATGATCATATTGAATGGTGGTGAAGGCTCAATGGGCCAAGTGGCCTTCTCCTGCACCTATTTTCTATGTTTCTACATTTTTATGTTAAGACCACATCTGGGGTATTGTACAAACTTCTGGTCTCTTTATTTATAAAGGGATGTAAAAATGTTTCAAACAGCTCAGAGAAGGTTTATGCATCACATTTCAGGCTCATCTTCCGAAGAAAAGTTAAACAGCTTGGGTCGATACACATTGGAGTTACGAAGAATGAGCAGTGATCTTAATGAAATATATAAAATTCAGAGAAGACATGATAGGATGGATACCAGGAGGATGTTTTCTCTTTTGGGAGAGATTAGAAATAGGGGACACTATGTACGAAGAAGATATCTCCCTTTAAAGCTAGAGATGAGTTTTATTTTCCCTTAACAGGTCATTAATATGTGGATTACCCTTCCCCGGAAAGCAGTTGAAGATGGGTCACTGAATTTATGGCAGAGTTAAATACTTTTTTTGAAAGACAGGGGAGTCAAAGGTTATCAGAGCAAACAAGACAGTGGAATTGAGGACACAAGGCGATCAATCACCATCTGATTGAATGATAGCAGAGGCTGGAATGCCAGAAAAGCCTACTCCTGTTCTTAAGCCCTATGTTCCTTCATTGCTGTATTGCATAACCTGCTGAGCTGAAGAGTAGAAACAGTTTCTATCATATTTCCACTACATAGGCAGTCAGAATATCAACTATGGATTATGAGACAATTGTCCCCATAAAAAAAGTCCACACTTACAAATATACTTTATTGAACAGTTTTAATATACTCGAATTCACCACATTAAGCAATCCAACGTTTTACTCTGTGTATTCTTGGATCCAGCACAGATAGGAGGAAAAACAATTCATATAACACATATACTCTCTTTTTTTTTACATTTAGATAAATATATTCTCCAGAACCAAGCTGTACAGCTTTATGACTGTTACAAAAATAAGGAAAGCTAGGTGCAGCACTATCCACTTTGACATAATAGACCAGAAAACAGGAGAAAAGCTTTCACAGATTATACCCACAACTTGATTGTGTGTTGCTTAGCATGACGACATCTTCTAGTTCGCACTGATGATGGAATCAGCAACATTTCTGTCTACATTTACTATAGATGCAACCGAGTTAGGGATTATAATACATGTAAACTGAAGACTTTACATCAATGGAGTTGTTGATAAACAGTGTCACTGCATCAGACAATCTCACAAACTGAACCACCTTCATCTGTGGCACAAATATAATGACAAGTCGAGTTACAGCAGTCACTCTAGTGTGGTAATGGAACTAACACTTGAACATAATTGATGGGAAAAAACCCTGACTGTCCATGGAGCATCCCTTCATACCAGTTGTCATCAATTTGATTGGTGAGCGTGATGACATCTCCCTCCTTAAATCCCAGCTCGCCTTCATTCTCCGGTTCAAAATCATACGCAGCCCTGCAGCATGGCTGATCTAGCGGCGTGCCTGCATTTTACAAATGACTATTAAAATCTGAAACTTTTACATAAATTAGTCAACGAGAAAATAAAACTTGCAATCATCTTAAAATGTGGGGCTTGAAATTTAGGAAAATAAATGTCACAATTGTTTGCTGCAGTTAGAAAAAAAAGCTGGGTTAAAACTGATTACAAAAGCACCATGATCTCTTCTGAAAATTCTACGGTAATGAGCTAAGTTGCTATACTTGTTGCTTACTTTAAAGTCTTCAAGCCTCCAGTATTCAAAACAAAAACAGATATGAAGCAGATCTGAAAACAAAATCCCAAACAGCAGAGTCCTAAAATAACAAAACAGAAGTTGCTGGAAAAGCTCAGCAGATCTGGCAACATCTGCGAAGAAAAAATCAGAGTTAACGTTTCGGGTCCGATGACCATTCCTCAGACCCTTCCTGATTTACAGCATCTGCAGTTCTTTCGGCTTTTATTAAGTCCTAAAATAAGCTGCACGTTTTGAGCCTGAGTGAAACTTATGAGAAGATTGACTTTTCTATTCTACTGATCTTGGGTTTATGTCGCTCTACATGTAAACCCACCATACTATTCTGTGTTTGTAAAATCTTCCTTACTGTTCTGTTTTGACACCATTACCTTGATTACTTGTGATTGTCTCTCTACCTTAAATAGTTTGTACAGTTTTTGATTACTTGTTACTTTGGTTAGACCCTCGTCACGCAACTCTGATATCAACTCACGTTAATCCAACCATTTGGTATGTCTCCAGGACCATTTTATTTCTGAATATTTGTAATTATCTCTCTGCCTTAATAGGTTCATAGGTCATCCTTTCACTAGTAATTCAGCTGTTGAGACTTTACTCACACCATTTGACACTCTTGATCACCTGCAAAGACTTGTTATTCAGCCTGTCAACACTCCACTCACACTATTTGTACTTATCTGTTGGCATTCTTAATTACTAGGAATTATCTTTACATTATCTCTCTGCCTATATATTCTATGCCAGTGTGCTCCCTCACCTGATGAAGGAGCAGCACGCCAAAAGCTTGTGATTTTAAATAAACATGTTGGACTATAACCTGGCATTGTGTGACTTCTGCATTTGTCCAACATTGGCATCTTCACATTCTGCTGATTATTGATATCAAGGCAGACATATTCATGTCAAATGGATGCAACATTTTACCTGGTGTCTTTTGCCCACTGTGAGTCAGTCCACCATTCTGTTGAGTGTCATCTGCAAATTCATAGGTCAAACGGGGCTTTGGTTTATATTCCCTTCGAGGACAGGCAGTCGCTTCCTTCACTCTGCAAAGAAATGTGCCATCAATTATGACTGAAGGGAGTGAAAATTAGTGGACAATTTCATTCATCTATTGCAGAAAGGCAATAAACTCTTTACCCATCAGAACCCAACAAACTGGAAAGTACTGGAGCTCAACTTAAATATTGTTCAGTTGTTCAAATAACAAACTCCTGGACTGAAATTTAAGCTGGATGCAGAAACGAAAATGTAGATGTCGTCCATTTCATGTTGGCCTTCTGACTAAATCAATGTGGAAATGAAAAGGCAGCATGCAATAAAATGAACTCTTTCTTAATTGTTTTACAAATGTGCCAAACTCTTCTCAGAAATAAGCCCTGTTTCTTCTTAAGGAATGAAATCTGATGGCAGTGAACCCTCTGCATGTCCAATCACACAACATCAAAAGTAGAAAATTAAGCTCAAGAGAGCATTGAAATGATTCAGAAGTATTACTGTACATAGGGAACTTGGAGGAATTGGCATTTCCACATATTTTACAAATAACTCAATGAAACAGATTCACATCTGCTTTGGCATTGAGCTCATATATTAATGAATATTATCTGAAATGTTAAAAAGTATCCTATGCTCATTTGCTTATCATTTAGATCAGTGGATATTGCCACTGTTGCTGTTAGTTTGAGACTTCATTTCACTTACCAGCCCAAACCCTGCTCAGTATTAATCACTGTCTATTTTAACTGTCTGAATGCCATATACCAACAGTAGTTTTAAAATAGACACACACTTATCAATCAGCTTTGATCACAAGTTTTAAAGAACAAACTGCAACTTGTAGAATGTCCTTTCATTCATCATGTTCTCTCACTAGACAGATTAAAGTTAATAACGCTGCCTTTTTAAATTCAATTTGACGCATTCCTTAAGCATGGTATCAATATGAGCATGAGTTGATAATATTTGCCATTTTGACTTGTGTTGTGATATGTACATTGAAGGGGTCCTAACTTAAACATCTTCAAACACTACCACCTCAATCGGATGTATTTATTAGTCCCATGACCTGTATTCTGCTTCTGTGAAACGTCCAAATTTTTCAGCCCAGAAAACAACGAAAGTCAGGCTTTCCCATTAATCAAAAAGAATAGAATTTTATTGACATGAAACTCTTCATAGAACAGTACAGTACAGCACAGTACAGGCCCTTCAGCCCATGATGTTGTGCCGAACTTTTACCCAAAACCTAAGGTCTATCCACCGCTACCTTACACTATCATCCATATGCCTATCTAATAGCCGCTTAAATGCCCCTAATGAGGCCGACTCCACTACCCTCTCCAGCAATGCATTCCACGCCCCTACAACTCTCTGAGTAAAGAACCTACCTCTGACGTCTCCCCAATATCTACCTCCTTTCATTTTAAAACTATGTCCCCTTGTAAAAGCTACCTCCACCCTAGGAAAAAGTCTCTGGCTGTCTACTCTATCTATACCTCTGATCATTTTGTACACCTTAGAAAAGAATCATATGTCAGCATAGCCTTGGTGAGCCAAAGGGCCTGTTCCTGTGCTGTACTTTGTTCTCTTTGTTCACAGTACTCCAGTGTGTCATGACAACTGGTACAAAGTAAGATGGTTGTGGTTGTAGAGGATGTTTACTGATCATTGCATGATTTTCAGCCCCTGCACATTTGTAGCAAGACTTGGACAATATCCACATTTGGGCTATCAAGTAACATTTGCGCCACACACAAGTGCGAGGAAATGACCATCTACAACAAAAGAGAATCAAACCATCTTCCATTGATATTCAATGGCATTACACTGCTGAATCCCTCATGGATGGTATCATTGACCTGATCTGGACTAGCCACATCAATAGTGCAGCTACAAGAGCAGGTCAGAAGTTAGAAATCCTGCAGTGAGTAACTCACCCTCTGATTCCCCAAAGTCTATCCACTATCAACAAGGCACAAATCAGGAGTGTGATGGAATACTCACCTGGATGAGGACAGCCCCAACAACACGCAAGAAACTTAACAATATTCAGGACAAAGCAGCTCATTTGGTTATTGCCACATCCACAAACATTCATTCCCTCCACCATCCACATTTATTAGCAGCAGTGCATACTATCTACCAGATGTACTGCAGAAATTCACCAAGTTTTGTTTCGCTGCACCTTCCAAACCCATGTCCATCTCGAAAGACATTTGCAGCAGATACATGGGAACACCACCTCCTGCAAGTTCCCCTTCAAGCCACTCACAATCCGGACTTGGAAATATATCACCGTTCCTTCACTGTTACTGGGTGAAAGTCCTGGAATTCCCTCCATAACAGCAATGTGGAAGTACCTTAACCTAAAGTCTTCACTGACAATTGGCAGTACTCACCAGTTTTATTCCCAATTTCACAATTTTATTGAATTCAAAATTCATCAGCCAAGATGGGATTCAAACCCATCAATACAGAATATTCACCTGGGCCCCTGGGTTACTATATGCTGATGTTACACTAAGGCATCATCTCCCCTCTTCAACTAGGCCTCACCCTCCCAATTGACAACCTCTCGTCCCCACCACTTGCCAACGTTTCCTCTGGCAATATCAGAATTTTTGAAGATTGGATCTAACCGTGAGAGAAACTCTTATCCCAACTGTATGAGCTGCTTTGCAACCAAGGCCTGAAGGGAATGGGCAACATTTATATTATGATAGCACCAAGCTGCTCATAATCTGTACTGGCCGGTATGTGTTTTCGTCGGCGAGCAGTGCCTGTGCCTTGGATGTGTAGTCCCTTTTATTTAGTATTACTGTCATGCGCCCTTTGTCTGCGGGTGATGTTCTTGTCCTTCTTCAGCTCTTCAATAATGCACTGTGGATGCCAATGTTCATCTCTGTTATAAGCAACAAAACTGGACAACATTTTAAGATTCACAAACACTGACTACAACTAAAAGTAAATTGTTGCAGCTATTTCAGTGCTGTGACACCGTAAATTATATATCAACTGCATTTTAAAATAACTACTAAACAAGCTAATTTCCAAATGGTTCTTTTTGCTGAAGTTAGTGAAACAGAATTGAAACTTAATGGTTGGATTTTTGACTAAAATGAATCAGGAGTATGATTTGACACGAGTTCATTTTCTTTATTGTTTTACAAAAAGAAAGCTGATATATCTGTTTCATACTTACCGCTGCTCCAGCTGCACTGAGAGTTCCTGGTAAATCTGTGCAGCCTGTCTGTGATATTCTAACTGAGCTTGCACTAGTGCTGAAAGCTGGCTCACTTGCTCAATCTACAATTATCAACAAAACAAAACAAACATAAACATATTACAATTAAATGTCTTTGGGGACTTCTTTAATAAGACTACATGCAGTTATCACACTCTACGGGTAAGTTCAGCCTAACCAGCCTTGGGGGAAACTGATGGGACTGGATTGGAAGCAGCGACGTGTTTTATACCCTATCTAACCTTGCGTTCAATTAGTCAGTAGATTTCAGGGGAGGGCAAAGGAAACATTACAAAGTCACTCTGAAGCTGTGCACGAAACATGGCAGCATTGGCATTAATGACTGGGAATAACATGCTACCAGTTGTTGACAATAGCAACAGTTTGTCTATCAAAGAGTGTCATGTTTTGAATCACAACACCTTAATGATAAGACCGACTGATGGAAACGACAGCAAATCCTTTAATCCAGATCCCATTACCTTGTGAGATATCTTGCCCTCTGCACCTAAAGATCTGTGGGCTGATAAATGATCTATTCTGTTGCATGAAGACCCACAGTTTCAAATCATAATGCTAAGTAGACACCATCCTCCAGTTGAGGGATAGGTGACGATGGAGATTAAAATCATATTGGACGACATAAAACAGGCAGTCCAGCTGGTCCCATCAGGTGCCCTTCGGCGAATTTAACTAAAATTATCCCCAGTTGCAAATAAATACACAGTAAGCCCTGCATTCAGTGGTGGAAGTGGCCAATGACATATCAACCACCAGATGGCACAAAACCTCTAGATGCATTTCTGCATAGTTTTAAGATGTTTTCTCTGAGCACTGAAGAAGGTTTACTCATTCAAAAGGGCAAACTGTATTGCACTTAATATGGCTGCGTTCCTCAATTAGAGGTTCAAACTTTTTGCCAATGCCTTTCAAAACCATTCAGTAGTAAGGACAAATATACAAGGCTGGTGTTTCAGATTCAAAGCATAGTTGCACGGAATTTCATCTCATTGCAATAGAAAGGTGCAGTATCACATCGCTGCCTCAAACATATGTTTCCGGTCAAGATTTATTTGCTACATCTGGTGGTTCAGTACAATACAGGAACAAACTGATTGGTGCTGAAAACCTTACTGAGTACTCAAAAAAAAGGTTATTAATGCAGTGTATTTCACAAAAAGATAGACAGCTCAATTTAGCAACTAAGTGATCTGTATCACCAGGGGTGTATTACTTAAGTTCCTGAAAAGGTGTTGAAACAAAAACAACATATATAACCAGTTTGACTAGATAGTGAAACAGAAATTGTGTAGACGCAAGGACCAGTCAATGAGCATTCCTTTAATCATTGGAATGTTGTACCAGGCCAAGATAGTATTATTGTAATACTGTAATTTTGGGGAAACCATCCTAAACCTGTTGACCACTGAGAACAGAGGGAAAAATTCCAACCGAATGAGGTCAGTCACATGTCAGCAAAATTATGCAATTGAAATGCTCTCTAAACATGTTCTTATTGGCAACTTGACAGGCACCATTGGTAACGGCAGTCATGGAGGGACAGTACATCTGCCGCCTTTCCCAAAGATGCAATGGCGCATGGAGTGACAGTAGATGCAAAATAAATGGGGCAGAAGGATCAAATACCGAAGACCTTCGGGATAAGAAAAAATAATTATGTGTGACATATTAAGGATAAAATCTACAGAAAGTGTCCCAATTGATTAAGAATTTCTCCCCATTTCTATAAAAGAGTAAATCACAAACAGCGTAGCTTAGAATTAGGATCCTTACATCACTCTCCAGCAGGTTAAACATGCTTGATTCTGCAATTTCCTTTGATTCATCAAATTTCTCCAGTGCCTGTCGAATCTCCTCTTCTGGAATCTTCCCTTGCCTCTTCTTCTTGTAGTCAAAATCTAATCTCCGCCCCTCCAATTTCTTCAGATGATGCTATCAATAAATGAATGGTAGTCTGAGTAAGGAAGAAATGCTGGAACTGAGACTTCTCCCTGGATCAGGGGCAACTTGCTTTATCCATTTCTGATGACACTCAATATCATATATATTAGTTTAATGAATAGCACCAGTTTAAACAGTAACTAATCTCTAATGATTGAGGGACCAATTTATTCCAATTACTGACCTATCAAGGACAAATAAATTTAAAAGGATTCAGCGTTTTTGAAGAAAAGACAGATTCTTATGCTTTGTTCTAAGGTTCTGTTTGTATGTCACATTAAATAAATATTATTTCAGGCCAATAAGAATCTATTATTGATGAATAAAAAAAGGCTACAAAAACCACCAAACGACTTTCTTGCTACGCCTTCAATTTGATCCATAAGTACATCTTATTTGATGCTAAAACCCTTTTACACATATGCGACACCTTTAGATTAGGCTATTCTTTTGCTCTCTTGACCAGCCCAACATCTTCTGTAAACTTCAACACATCCAAAACTGAGTCTCATTCAGCTCTCACCCATATTCACTGACTACACTGCCTCCCAGTTCAGCAACACATCAATTTTAAAGTTCTCAACATTGTTTTCAAACTTGGCTATGGTTTCACCCCTCTTCATCTCTGTAATATCTTCTAGCCCCTCAACTCTGAGATTTCTGCAGTCCTCTACGACTGGCCTCCTTGCATTTTCAGTTTTAATTGTTCCACCACTGGCAGGTGTGTCTTCGGCTGCCCGAGGCCATAAAACCTCTTGAATTCCCTCTGAAAATCCTTTGCCTCTCTCCATCTCCTTTAAGATGCTTCTACATCTTTCACCACACTTTGAGTCACCCTGGCCCATTACCTGATTATGTGGTTGTATCAAATTTTGCTTGATGACATTCCTACAAAGCACGTAGAGAGGTCAACTAGATTGAAGGTGTTATACAAAAGCAAGTTGCCAATTTTTAAAATAATTGCTAAACAACAGTAAACAGCGTTACCTGTCCAAATATTCCCCTCCCCTATCATGTCAGCATTCCGCAGGTACTGTTCCCTCCGGAACACCCTGGTCCACTCCTAACACCTTCCACACCCCCACAGCATCTTCCCACGTATTGTAGAAGGTGCAATACTTGCCCATTTACCTCCTTCCTCCTCACTGTCCAAAGCCCCAGAAACACCTTCCAGGTGAAGCAGTGACTTACCTGCACTGCACTCAATCTAATCCACCATAATCAATGCTCACAATGCAGTCTCCTCTACACTGGGAGACCAAACGCAGACTGGGTGACTGCTTTGCGGAACACCTACATTCCCTATGTAAAAATGACTCCGAGCTTCCAGTTGCCTGTCACTTCAACACACCATCATCTTCTCGCGCCAACATTTCTGCCTCGGGCCTGCTGCAGTGCTTCAGTGATGCTCAACATAAGCTGGAAGAACAACATCTCATCTTCCACTTGGGGACCCTGCAGTCTTCAGGACTCAATATCGAGTTCAATAATTTTGGAACCTGAGCACCTCCTCCTATGTCTTTTACCCACCCCAACACCCCAGATCCTGTCATGACATGGGTTGCTTTCAGTGTAGCCTATCCATTTCCCCCCACTTAGAGTCCTCATTATTACTTATCTAGCTTTTCTTCTTAGTTGGCGTACTATCCACAATCCCTTTGTGTGCCTAAATGATTTCCTCTTTCTCTTTCCAGGCTCTGTCTTCCCCACCCACTCATGCCTTCACCCTAATCCTAGGCATTAGCATAAATACCACTTTTTCCTGGGAGCAATATGGTGGCACAGTGGTTACTACTGCTACCTCACACAACCAGGGTCTTGGGTTTGCTTCCAGCCTCAAATGACTGTCTGTTTGGTGTTTACACATTCTCCCCATGTCTGCATGGGTTTTTGCCAGGTGCTCTGGTTTCCTCCTACAGTCCAAAGATGTGCAGGTTAGGTGGGTCGGCCATGCTAAGTTTCCTCGTAGTGTCCAGGGTTGTGCAGGCTAGATGGACTAATCATGATAAATGCTGGGTTACAGGACTTGGGTAGGATGCTCGTCAGAGGGTCGGTGCAGACCTGATGGGCCAAATGGCCTCTCTCTGTATTCTAGGGATTCCATGATTCTATCCTAGATGCTATCTGTTGTGAAGAAGGGTCACTGGACTCAAAACATTAACTGTTTTCTCTCCAAAGATGCTGCCAGACCTGCTGCGTTCCTTTGACAATTTCTGTTTTTGTTACCTACCCACCTTTAGGGTACATAATGCAAATTGCAAAATGGGGAGGAGACATGAATTTCATCGAAGGATTGCCTTAATTCTTTAAACCTAAAAGATTTCTAAGATAATCAACAGTTAATTTTCTTTAAGTTGTCATTTTTTTATTGGAACTTAAGTAAATTTATGTGTTAACTTCTTTGCTTCTGACTAATGGCCTATGTTGGCCAAAAATGAACTGTGTAGTGTATATAGGAGAAATGAAAATGCAATATAATTGGTATTAATTAAGATTTCCAGGTAGAAATTCCAATCAGTGAAATGCATGGGTGACGATTTGTCCTTTTTTTAATGCAGACATTAAATTGTTCATTCTAAATGGACTACTACCCAAGTAAAAATAGGCACGGCAGAGTCCAACCTGTGTGCTCTGTTTTGTTAATAGGCTTCATTAATCAGAATTTCCATCTTCCTAACCTTAATCACATAACAAAAGCTGTTAGCATTAGTATCCCATTTTAATTCTAAAATCTTTGTAATGTTTACTCCTCCCTTTAATCCATAGTTTTGTGATTTAGAAGCTTTTCAAAACTAGTTACACAAGCTACAATAGGCTGGAACGTGAATATGACCACAAGATCGACTTATTCTGTTCCTAAGAGAAATTAAAACATATGCCAGGATTTTTGAGATAGTAGGAACTGCAGATGCTGGAGAATCTTAGATAACAAGGTGTAGAGCTGGATGAACAGAGCAGGCCAAGCAGCATCAGAGGAGCAGGAAGGCTGACGTTTCGGGCCTAGACCCTTCTTCAGAAGTGGGGGAGGGGAAGGGGGTTCTGAAATAAATAGGGAAAGAGGGGGAGGCGAATAGAAGATGGATAGAGGAGAAGATAGGTGGAAGGAGACAGACCGGTCAAAGAGGCGGGGATGGAGCCAGTAAAGGTGAGTGTAGGTGGGGAGGTAGGGAGGAGATAGGTCAGTCCAGGGAGGAAGGACAGGTCAAGGGGGCGGGATGAGGTTAGTAGGTAGGAGATGGGGGTGGGGCTTGAGGTGGGAGGAGGGGATAGGTGGGAGGAAGAACAGGTTAGGGAGGCGGGGATGAGCTGGGCTGGTTTTGGGTTGCTGTAGGGGGAGGGGAGATTTTGAAGGTTCTCTTTCAATTCCTCCCACTTCCTACAGACAAAGGGGGTAGCCATGGGTACCCACATGGGCCCAAGCTATGTCTGCCTCTTTGTAGATTACGTGGAACAATCCCTCTTCCGTACCTACTCTGGCCCTAAACCCCACCTCTTCCTCCGTTACATTGATGACTGTATTGGTGCCGCCTCGTGCTCCCACGAGGAGCTCGAACAGTTCATCCACTTCACCAACACCTTCCACCCCAACCTTAAGTTCACCTGGACCATCTCTAATACCTCCCTCTCCTTCCTGGACTTCTCTGTCTCCATCTCCGGCAACCACCTAGAAACCGATATCCATTTCAAGCCCACCGACTCCCACAGCTACCTAGAATACACCTCCTCCCACCCACCTTCCTGCAAAAATGCCATCCCCTATTCCCAATTCCTTCGCCTCTGCCGCATCTGCTCCCAGGATGAGGCATTCCACTCCCGTACATCTCAGATGTCCTCGTTTTTCAAGGACAGCAACTTGCCCCCCTCACTGGTCGAGAACGCCCTCGACCGTGTCTCCCGCATTTCCCACAATAACAACCAAAACAGAATCCCCCTTGTCCTCACATACCACCCCACCAACCTCCGGATCCAACGCATCGTCCTCCGACACTTCCACCATCTGCAATCCGACCCCACCACCAAAGACATTTTCCCTCCCCACCCTTATCTGCTTTCCAGAGGGAACACTCTCTCCGTGACTCCCTTGTCTCCTCCACAGTCCCCTCCAGCCCCACCTCACCCGGCACTTCTCCCTGCAACCGCAGGAAGTGCTACACCTGCCCCTACAACTCCCCCCTCACCCACATCCCAGGCCCCAAGAAGACTTTCCACATCAAGCAGATGTTCACCTGCACATCTGCTAATATGGTATACTGCATCCGCTGTTCCCGTTGTGGCCTCCTCTACATCAGGGAAACCAAGCGGAGGCTCGGGGACCGCTTTGCAGAACACCTACGCTCAGTTCGCACTAAACAACTGCACCTCCCAGTCGCGAACCATTTCAACTCCCCCTCCCATTCCGCAGACGACATGTCCATCCTGGGCCTCCTGCAGTGCCACAACGATGCCACCCGAAGGTTGTAGGAACAGCAACTCATATTCCGCTTGGGAACCCTGCAGCCCAATGGTATCAATGTGGACTTCACAAGCTTCGAAAAATATCCACAACCATTACTCTCACATTCCTATCACACAGACAATTTCATATCCATGTTGCTACTGTCCCTGTTATACCACAATCTTTAATTTTTCTTACAAGTCCATTGCACTGTATCAAACGGTTCTGGAAATCCATGTATACCATATCAACAATGTCAGCCTAATTGACCCCTTCTGCTACCTTGTCAAAAAACTCTTACAAGTTAATCAAACATAATTTTCCCTTTAGAAATCTGTGATGGCTCTACCTAATAAGTTCATCTTTAGTAATTATATCCTGAGTAATTGTTTCTGGAAGTTTCCCCACCACTGAAGTTAAACTAACAGTTCGATAATTGGTGGGAGATAGCAAGAACTGCCGATGCTGGAGTCAGAGACCACACAGTGTGGAGCTGTGGCCAAGCACAATCAGAGGAGCAGGAACATTGACGTTTTGGGTCAGGACGCTTCTTCAGAAAAATGGTGGGTATTTCCTTGCCTTTCTTGAACAAGGCTGCAATGTTTGAAATTGGCCCATTCTTTCAGTGCCTCCCTTGAACAGGGAAGATTATTGCCAGTGCCCCTGCAATTGCTACCCTCACTTCCTTCATAATCCAGTCCTGGTGTCTTGTCAACATTAAGTACCAACAATCTGTCCAAGATTCCTTCTTTATTAATTTTGAACACTTCTAGTTACAGAGTTTCTTCTTCTGTCACAAGGCTTTAGCAGCATCCTCCTCTTTTATAAAGACAGATGAAAGTGTTTACTTAGCAGCTCAGCTATGTCCCTTGCCTCCATATTTAAATCCCCTTTGTAGTCCCTGATTAGCCCTACTCCCCTTTAACCTCTCTCATTCTGTTTATCTGCCTGTACAGGACTTTGAGATTTTCCTTTAAGTTATCTGCAAAGCTCTATTTGTTTTTTCACCTCTCTAAACCTTCAGAAATTGATTCTCAATTGTACTTCTGCTTTACATCTGTCATAAGTACACCTTTTATTTCTAATGTTCTTTTCTACCTCCTTTGTCATCCAGGGAACTCTGAATTTGTTTGTCCTACCTTTTCCAACCTTTCCGTGAGCCAGGTGCCTAGACTGCCACAACATCATTGTTCCACACTGCAATATGTGTAACTCCCCAATCTTATTTACTGTACTCGGTACTTTTACATACACGCACATTAACTTTGTTTTGGACTTCCTTTCTTTCTCCCCTACTCCAACTTCACTAACTTATTATTCTCTATGCTTCTGCCAGCTATATCCGTAAGCATTTTACAAGCCCTGGTATTCTGATCTACTATTCTTCCTTGGTTCCTACACCCTCTACCAAGTTAGTAAGGCACATGAAAAATACCCCACAAAGTATACCTGTATTTCTTTCAGGTCTTTATCATGTAGGTTCTGTAGAGGATCAATGAAGTTTTGTTTTACTTCCATATCAAGAGCATCTTTCACCTCAGCAAGCTGCTTCATAGCTTCACCACTATCCATCAGTGCCTGACCTTGAAGAGAGTTCAGGGATATATTTTTTAAAAGTAAGCTTTGAAGTTTTGCATTTTTATTTCTATAGCATTTCTATACATTTTTGTATCTTTATAACCTATTATTTCATAATGCAAATGCCAAATACCTTTCTTGTCGTCTAGCCTTCCTAGTTAAATCACTCCAGAACGAATCATTGTCATAAATTATTCATTAATGAAATATATTCTTCTAAACAAAGACAAATTACCAGGTAATAGATGAAAACATACAAATAACAGCAGATTTGTCGAAAGTTTACCAATTCAAATGCAGATATTTCTGATCATTTCCAAAGCAAATTCATATAAAAGTTGGAACTGACTAATCCATGAGCATAAACTGCAATATGACATTGTATCATCAATGACTAGAGTGTGCCAAACCCTTCCCACTTTGCAAACTTTCTCATATCTTCATGGGACACTGACAAGTTCAGCATTTGATATCCATTCCTAATTGTCCCTTCAACTCATTAAGAGTGAGATCATTTCAGAGAGCAGTTAAGGGTCAACCAAATTGCTGTCACATGTAGGCCACACCAGCAGATTTCCTTCTCTAAAGGAGGTCAAATGTAAGAATAATTAATGATAGCTTTATGGTCACTGTTACGAAGACTAGCTGTCAATTTCATATTTTTCTAATTAATTGAATGTGGCTTCAAAACTGCACATGGTGGGGGATTTATAGCTAGGTCATCAGAGCATTTGCCTATGCTTCAGAATTACTAGTTCAGTGACATTACTTCTATGTCACTATTTCACACCTTACATATTGGATGCAGTTAACACTCCAACAATTCAACAGGATGCTATATTAAACATGGAGTCAAGGAAAGAAAGAACCACAATAGAATAATGAAAGAAAAAAAGTACGTAGAAAAATAAAGCTGAATTATATTATGGTACAACCATATTCAGGTTCCTCCTCCTCTCTCCTCCCACTGCACACTGTCGCTGAATTTGACAACAGTTAATAACAGAGCTTACATCACAGGTCCAGTAACTGAGAGGCAACCAACCACTTACAATAATTCATAAACTAGAGCCTAAAAGTTCAATCATCACAAAAGATCTATACAACAGAGCTGGTGATATTGTCATTCTGTACTCTTCTCCCTTCCCCAATATTAAATTTCGATAATTCACATTACTGATTGCATTTAAATTCAAACTTGACACTGTCTCTCTTCAAAAAGCTTGGGTTATGTGTTTTCATCTCTTAAATGCAATATTATATAAAGTTTCGGTTGTTATTGGATAGTAATGACAAGTTATAAATTGAAATAATGAATGCTTTAAAGGGGTGATTGATGTAGCATACTCAAATTGAATTTGAATTGAATTAGCTTTATTGTCACATGTAGTCAAATGAGTACGGTGAAAAGTTTACAAGTCGCCACTTGCGGTACCATCTTAGGTACAAGATATCTAGGTAAAGACTGTTCAGCACAAGTTCTTAAGGAAAAAACAAGTGACAACAAAAAAGAAATAAAAAGTCCAGTATTACAGATGGTAGAAATAAATCAGAAAATAGAGAAATTAAAGTTCCAACTGAGTCCACTCTGGTACCTAGCCTTCAAGCCACACCAGGCCTTGACTCCAGACTGTGCAGGGCTTCACTTCAAGGAGACCGCTCTGGAATTCCCACAAGGCCGGAAGTCCACACTGAGGCTATGCTGGGCTGAAAGACCACCACAGGATGCTGAAAGACCACTATGCTAGGCCGAGAGACCACCACGTGCCACCAAGAGACTGCCACGCTGAACCACTGAGAGACTGCCGTGCCAGGTCAGGGTACCGCCAAGCCGGGCTAGGAGAGTGCCACACCACAGAGTAGGATGCTTCAGCCAGACTTTGTCTGCTCTGTCCATTTCTTTCTCTTTTCTTTTCACTCATCTTTCTTCTTGGCAACATCCTGAACTTCCGGCCTCAGCGCAGACATGGACTGCCGGCTTCAGCACGGACCCGGCCTTAGCGTGGACCCAGTGAGGTATCCTCTTGGTCTTGAGTGGCGGTCTCCCAGCCTGGCATAAAGTGCTATCAGCAAAAGCATCAATATCTTGTATTTATTTAGCACCTTTAAGATACAAAACCTCCCTATGTGAAGTTTTATGAGCATCTTAAACCAAGGCAGTTAGAGAAGCGAAGAGGTTTTGGGAGGGTACCCAGAACTTGGGAAGTTGGCAGGAGTTACATCACGGATAGCAGGGTTTTGGATGAGCTTAAGTTTATGGAGGATGCAAAGTGGGAGACCAGTCACAGGAAAACTGTAACAGCCAAATGCAGAAGGAGCAAATCCATGCACGAGGGCCTTAGCATCTGAAAGCTGAGACATGGATGGAGACAGGTATTATTATGGAGGCATATGTGGATAGTCCTAGTGAAAGTGTGGATTCTTGATCAAACGTTAATTCTGCATCAAATACAGCACAAAGGTTGTGAACAGACTGTCTTAATCTCAGTCTACTGCCAGGGAGAGTGATAGGGTTGGTAACTAGGGAATGGCATTTGTGGAGGGGAGTGAAGACAATGGTTTCAGTCTTTCCAATTCTTGGAGGAAATATCAGCTCCTGTAGTCCTGGATATTGCACAAATTAGAGACAGCAGAGAAATTGAGAGATGCCAGGGAGATAGGCCTGATGTTGTCAGCGTACACATTGAACCTGGCACTGTGCTTCCAGATGATGTTACTGAAAGACAGTATGCAAAAAGACAGAAACAGGAATGGCCAATATAGATCCTTGGAAGACTGCAGAGTGGGAAGAGAAGCCTTTGCAAGTTAAAATTTTCCAGTTAAAATTAGATTCATAAGAATGGAATCAGGCCAAATCAGGTGGTCAGATTTGTCAAAGACTGCTGACTATTTGACATAGATGAAAAGGAATAGTTTCCCACAGGCAGAGTCACATACATTGTAAGTTGTGACTTAGATAAAAGCCATTTCAGTGGCAGGCACAGACACCTGATTGGTGAAATTCCAGAATAGAGTTCCAGGAAAGGTGTGCTCAGATCTGAGAGATGACAACATATCTAAGGATTTGAGAGAAAAGGCAAACCCCTGCAGTGATGATGGCTGTTGGTGATGGGTTTTTTTTTGACAAATGTGGATGATGAGAGATGTGAAGATGAGACGGAAACTACAAACAATATCAGCAAACATGGCGGTCAGGAAGAGGAGTTTGGGGTTAGCAGTTTAGTGAAAATAGGGTCAAAAGAGAAAGTAGAATAAGCCATTCTTTCTGCGTGATATGAACATTTAGGCAATTTATTAACTGGCACATGTAAACTATGGAACTTTAAAACAAAGAATTAAGCTTATAATTCTGCACAGTGATTT